AAAGCATCCTTGACCTTTCAAATCCCCTGAATTTTTCATTTATTCAGTAATTGAAATCTAAATCTAAAACTATGGTATTATCACGAGTGCCCACTGCAGCCTCTAGATTCAGAAGGTTAATTTTAATGAACTTTTAAACACTTGCATTAGGCAATTTCATTTAAATATAATTGAAATGTGAAGCTGGGTAGTTGTAGTGCTTGGCATTCAAATCTGGTCTGTTTACCGTGTAGTCATGGCTCGAGTGCTATAGCAACACTTGATAAATATTACAGTGTCTAGAGTCATAAACACTGATAATAAGCATAACTGAACAAGGTCTTTGCTCCTGAGAAGCCATGTTTTAAGTAGGAGCTTATACCCTAAGGACTTTTAACAAGCACTTTCCACTTTTCAGTAGCATGTCAGAGGCAGGTCAAACTGGGGTCAAACGCAGCTTAGGCCACAGAAGGATGGAGAAAGTTCGGAAAGTACATGCTGGTGAGAATTACCATGTACCTAATATCCATTTGGGGGTCTTATGTCATCATCTACATATAATCAAAGCACTGTATGAGGAAATTGTAGTTCAGAGATTTCAACTAAAAATCTAGAAACCAGAAATGCCACAAAAAAGAGTTATGGCCCAAAGCAAGGAGACTTTCAAAAGGCTTTCAAACAATACTTTCATATATAAGCTCTTTTATAAAGTCATTTAAAATAGACTTTAACCTAGAGGCTCAGTCACTTAGCCAAGTGTACCCCTGACCAATGAGGACAGTGAGAAAAAGAATACACACACACACACACACACACACACACTCTCTCTCTCTCTCTCTCTCTCTCTCTCTCTCTCTCTCCCTCCCCCTCTCTTTAAACTTAATTTTTTAAAGTATCTTCTTTTATTTAGAAAAAAAGAATGGGTCATGTGCAGTGGCTCACGCCTGTAATCCCAGCACTTTGGGAGGCCAAGGTGGGCAGATCACCTGAGGTCAGGAGTTCAAGACCAGCCTGGCCAACATGGTGAAACCCCATCTCTATTAAAAATATAAAAATTAGCTGGGTTTGGTGGTGGGTGCCTGTAATCCCAACTATTTATTAGTCTGAGGCAGGGAGAATTGCTTGAACCCAGGAAGCAGAGGTTGCAGTGAGCCGAGATGGCACCACTCCACTCCAGCCTGGATGACAGAGTGAGACTCCGTCACACACACACACACACACCATTAAGGCTGGTATTTTGGTCTCTATTATAACCAAAAGTTCTTTTTACTTTTTCTTTCAGCATTAAAAATGTACTAGCACTAGTGACTTAAGTGCATTTGGTCTCTTGTAAAAGAGTAATAAAATCCTGTGTTTAAAAGTATGTGTGCCTTCCTGGCTTTATTCTTCTTGTATGAAGGAGTGGGGTGATAATGTCCATATTGCACTAGCCATGGAAAGGCCCAATTTCAGCTATTTGCAAGGGAGAAAAGCAAGTCTACTCATACTTAAAATAATAACTGCTGCCTATGTAACACAAAAATCTATTGTTCTAAATTCAGACATATATTCCCTTCAGTGTATTGAATGGTGAATCTGCCTTAACATAAAGGGGCATTTTTTGTTTTCAACAAAATGACAAGATTACAGACAACAAGAATATAATAGTTTATTTTTAAAAGATCACTACAGCAATAATATATTTTAGGCATATAATTTTACCTATTATAATAAAAAATAATAACAAATATCCTCCTTCTACAGAGAGTCTTTGCTCTTAAGAAGAACTTATTTTAGGCCAAGGTATAGTGGCTGATGCCTGTAATCCCAGCATTTTGGGAAGCCAAAGCAGAAAACTCACTTGAGCCTAGGAGTTCCAAATCAGCCTGGGAAGCATAGTGAGATTTGGCCTGTACCAAATAAATAAATAAATAAAATAAACAAAAACAAAAAATTAGACAAGTGTGGTGGCCTTCACCTGTAATCTTATCTACTCTAGAGGCTGAGCTTATAGAACCACTTGAGCCTAGAAGGTCAGGACCACCAGTGAGCCATGATTGTGGCACTGCACCCCAGCCCAGATGACAAAGTGAGACCCTGTCCCAAAAACAAACAAAAAGAGCTTATTTTAAATTATTGTTTTAAAAAACTATGAGATGTTAAGTTTGATGATTACTGCCATTTTACAGAAAAAGAAATTAAATTAGCTGATTCCTCTTTTCTAAATTGCAAGCCTATGCTATACCAAATGGTATTTAATCAGACTGTTGAATGCTGTTTCCTTAATATTCAGGTACTTTTATGATCATTTCAGCTAAACCTTAGTTACTTGAATTGCACAGAGTTGGAATCTGCATGGCATCTGGTATGAAACTGATCAAAGGGCTTGAATTCTGGGGAATAGACAGAATTGTTTAACATTAATACTGCCCTTTGCCCCAAATAAGAATTTTCGGTCACAAAATGTTAGTCACAATAGCCGAATGCTGTTGTCTATCAGACGCCTAAGAGCTTTGCTTGGAAAATATACCCAGTAAATCTTGCTAATTCCTGGGATTTTCTTCTTCTGTCTCTTCTTATTCTGTCTCTTTATTAATCCCAATGCTAAAACTCATCCAGCACCCTCATAACAAATATTTTGTAGAATTTGCAAAAGGAATCATATGCAGAGAGGTTTGTTATATGGCGTGTCCACAGCCTTACACCAATTCACCTTGCTCTCCAGGCCTCCCTTCGTCCCAGAATGAGATTCTCCTTCTTCCACTCCCAAACACACTCAACTCCTCTGAGTTTCTTCTTCTACACCAAGAGGACATACTGAGGAATTTTTCCAACATCTAATCTCCCTCTAGGAGGAAACTTACCAATGAAAATTTGTCCAGTTTAATAAATAAGCAATACTTATCAAACTTTTTTAAAGTATGAAAGTCTTTATACTATATCATCCTGAAATCTGTTGAAATGCAAAGGTAAATCATGGAGGAAAGCAGCTTGTGAAAAAGTTACAGTTTAGTCATTTGATGTAATGAAAAACATTAGAATCTATTGAAAAGTGTTATGAAAGGGAATAATGAGAAATGGCAATTTAGAGGACACCGAAAAATTACATACAACTGAAAGGAATCAGCAAAGGCTTCCTGGAAGAGGAAGCTCATCGTCCGGACTTTGATAGGAGCAGTAAAACCAGGGGCAGAAATCAGTAGAAGGGTGGTCCTAGTGCAGGAGCAACATGAACAAAGATGAAGTGGGGCCCAGGGTGGGGAAGATTCCACCAGGTGTTTTGATATTCCTGGTCCGTAAAGTACGTATGAAAAACTGTTGTGGGTAATGTCGGGGCAGAGAATCACTTTTTCACTTGAATGCCAAGATTAGGAATCTGATTTTTTTTTTTGGTCTATTCTGTGGACAGTGGCAAGACTAGAAGGAGCATTTTTACCATGTTAAAACAGTAATTTCTATCTCATTTTAATAATGTATTTATAATCAGGAAATTATTTCTGCCTAAACACACAATTTGCTAAGCTTTATTGATTCTTTGACTATGCATTTTATGTAAACAAAGAATTGTATCAGCCAGGTGCAGTGGCTCACGCCTGTAATCCCAGCACTTTGGGACGCTGAGCCACGCAGATCACAAGGTCAGGAGATTGAGATCATCCTGGTCTACATGGTGAAACCCCACCCATCTCTACTAAAATACAAAAAAAAAAAAAAAAAAAAAAAAAAAAATTAGCTGGGCTTGTGGTCCCAGCTACTCAGGGAGCTGAGTCAGAGGAATTACTTCAATCCGGGAGACAGAGGTTGCAGTGAGCTGAGGTCATGCCACTGCACTCCATCCTGGCTACAGAGCAAAACTCTGTCTTTAAAAAAGAAAAAAAAAAGAGTTGTATCAATTAAACATAATCTTCAGCATTTTACCTGCTATTTATATATTGTCATTGTAGTTTTTAGTTTCCAAAATATCATTTAAAGTTTCAAATTCAAGAAAAGATTTTAGTATCTAAGTCATACTGTGTAAAAATGGCTTAAGTAGATCTTGAAGTTTTTGGTTTTTTTATTTCCTTTTTAAAATTTTTAATAGAAGCATTGCACTAAGTAATAATGATAATTAAGCCTCCCTTTATGACTCTTAAGACATACCAGGCCCTGCCTGACTCTGGACATGAACTAGATACTTTTCTGTCCCACTGATAAGTGGAAATTCCCTATAGTCCTGACTTATACATTTAATGATTATATAAAGAGTCTTGGATTTTATAGATGTAGTTATAAAGACTTTATATTGAGTATTCAAATTAATAAATTTAAAGTACATTTTCTTATTTATTTTCGATATCAACCATGAAATGTATAGAGTGCAAATCACAACACCAAGTTAATGTGTCTATCTCCATCAGTCTCATGCAAGTCACTTTTCTAAAATACACTTAATTACAAATGCATTTGGGTATTTCAGGCTCAGTTATTTAGTTATACTGAATACATTAAGCTATGACTATATGCATACGTAATAACAATGTCAAAGCACTTAGTTCTGTTTTAATGACCACTGGGAATTACCAAATCAGTGTTTAAGATATAATAGCAAGAATATAAAATTTTATTCATTCAGAATAATTAGAGGAGAAGGCAACTCTAACCTGTATGAATCTAAATTATGATTTTTTTAATTTTTTATGATTTTCACAACAAGAAAAAATGCATTTTACATTTATTATTTAGTTACCAGAAATAAAATAGGCAAGAAGGAAAAGCACTTTGTAAAGCATTTTTGCTTAAAGGTATCCAAGTATTGCTTTAAGAAAGAATGTTGTACAACAGTGCCACTCTTTTATTCCACCCTGGATTTATATACCCACAGCTCTTATGTTTAGTGGTAGTGTTTATGAAATTATCCTTATAGGATATGTAACCTGACAATTAGGAAAGCATCTGATTAAGCTCTTCACATTCCATTCTTGCTTATTATGTTCATTTAGATGCATTTGTCAATTTATAATTGCAGTTAATTAAAATTTTTTAAATTTTCTTTTTTTTTAAAGGAGCCCGCTACATGAAAAAAAATGCAAGTCAAAGTGGTCACAACCTAGAAGTCCGCAGAGACAGGAATAACTAGCAAGTAGATACTATGTTATTTTACTATGCTTAAGTATATAGAATTCAATAGTGCTATGGGAATTTTACACTAAATGACCAAATAGTCTTGTAATTTTAAATTTATACTTAGCAGTTTTCATGTTAACCTATATCACATCAGGAAAATAATTAGGAAGCAACATGGTAACTATGAATCTTAGGAAACTCCTTTTCTGTCAGTAATAATGTAATTCCATTCATAGGAAATGTGAACTTAAGTATTGTATCCTCTCTCAGATCTTATTTTTAGAGCCCCTAATTCAATGCTTATTCCATCATAAAAAGAGTAAATGATTCTCCCTATGTCTTGTAACATATTTATCCACGACGTAAATGCATTGATTCCTCTCATAAGCCATTAATAATTATTATTATATAATAATGCTTTTAAGAAATAAAGTGAAATTATATTCCTTTTTGAAGGTTACATTTCAAAAATTCAAGGTGATATCAGATGAAATCTAGGCACAAAGCGGGAGCTTTGTATTTATCAGTATTTCCTGACATTTTCAAGAAATGAAATTGGAGGTTCAATGATAAAAGCATGCAATGTTTAGATAAATGGTTAAAAAATGAATTTAAGAATGTGGGAAAAGTAAATAAGATTATTTGAATAGCTAGGAGAATCTTTGAAAATCTCATTGCTCCATATTAAAGTGGTCAGAGTTGATCCTTTCTCCACAAATGTATCTTAAAGATTGTAATAGAATCAGAAAATATTAAAGCTGAAAGGATTTTAGAAAGTATTTACATGAATATTTCATTGGTATGGAGAAAGGAACTAAGTTTGCAATTGAAAATGGATTTTACATGTATATCTACATATATACATACATTTTTTTCAAGATAGAACTTAATACAGCTAGTTCTTAATTTAATAGGACTTATTCAGTAGTAATGACGATTAAAATATACATTTGAACAAAAATGTACACAAAATGATGGCAGTATCCATAATCAAAATAGTGGGCATAAATGTTTTATAATTAAATATTCATAGTAGTAGATATTTCTATAACCACAGAAATGTGTAAAATTGTGTTTCAGTTGCTTAACATTACAGATTCCAAAAGCATTATATAAACCAACAGAAGTTTCTTCCTTTTCACTCTTCTTTGACAGCTTTATGAATGACAGGTCATGAATGATAAATACTTCTCAGATAAACTTTACAAAATATTTATACAATTGGAACCACACCTTTTGATAAGAAGAATACTAAGCAATGACTCAATAGAAATGAAAAACATTTTTATAATGAAAATTATTAGCTTTTAGTGTATTTGGTTTATAAAATTAGACTCTTTATCTTAGATTGCCATAAAGTGACACATGCTTATCCTATAAGGGGGTGGAAAGGAAACACCTTAAAAATTCAAATTTCAGTTGGGCCAACTTCATGCTGAAGGAGGAAAAATTGTAAAACTGCATTTATCGATACCTTGGTAATAGACGATATCAGTTTTAGCTCAGAAGGAACTTTAGAAGGCCATAATTAAAAATATTTGGAAAATTTAAAAACAGAGTTAAGAGGAAGGGAAGGGGAAGGAAAGAAAGAGAGAAAGAAAGAAAGAGAGGAAGGAAGGTAGGAAGGAAGAAGGAAAGAGAGAGCTGTGTGTGGTGGCTCACACCTGTAATCCCAGCAATTTGGGAGGCTGAGGTGGGTGGATCACAAGCTCAGGGGTTCAAGACCAGCCCGACCAACATGGTGAAACCCCATCTCTCCTTAAAAAGAGAAAAATTAGCTGGGTATGGTGGCGCACATCTGTAGTCCCAGCTACTTGGGAGGCTGAGGCAGGAGAATTGCTCGAAACCGGGGAGGCAGAGGTTGCGGTGAGCCGAGAGCATGCCATTGCACTCTAGCCTGGGCAACAGAGTGAGACTCTGTCTCAAAAAAAAAAAAAAGAAAGAAAGAAAGAAAGAAAGAAGGGAAGGGAGGAAGGAGGGAGGAAGGGAGGAAGGAAAGAGAGAGAGAGAAAAGAAAGTAGAGAAAGAAAGGAAAAGAAAGAGAGAGGGAGGGAGGAAGGAAGGAAGGAAAGGGAGAGAGGGAGGGAGGAGGAGGAAGGAAGGAAGGAGGGAAGGAAGAAAGAAAGGAAAGGAAAGGAGAGAGGGAGGAGGAAGGAAGGAGGGAAGGAAAGGAAAGGAGAGAGGGAGGAGGAAGGAAGGAGGGAAAGAAAGAAAAGGAGAGAGGGAGGAGGAAGGAAGGAGGGAAGGAAAGGAGAGAGGGAGGGAGGAGGAAGGAAGGAGGGAAGGAAGAAAGGGAGGGAGGGAGAGAGGGAGGGAGGAGGAAGGAAGGAAAGAAGGGAGAGAGGAAGGAAGGAAGGAAAGAAGGGAGGAAGGAGGGAGGGAAGGAAGGAAGGAAGGAAGGAAGGAAGGAAGGAAGGAAGGAAGGAAGGGAGGGAGGGAGGGAGGAAGGAAGGAAGGAAGGAAGGAGGGAAGGAAGGAAGGAAGGAAGGAAGGAAGGAAGACAGACAGGCTTGGTAGCAGGATGAGACTAGAGTGCAGGGAGGTAGTTTGGTGCTGGGAGACAGAAATCAATGGCTTGTGGTAAGCCAGGCTCAGGAATGTGGTTGCAGTAGAGACAGAGAAGAACTTGATTTGAAACAAATATCTTCTTTACCAAGTTCCATGGGCACCGGTTTGTGATCCCATTATTTGAGACCTGGAACACTAAAAGAATAGCAGTTAGCTTCAATAGAGGATATTAAAATGGTAACTTTAGTTTGGAACGTGACATTCATGTGCCTTCTGCATAGCAAAATAAGGGATGATCACAGGGATGGTGGAAATACAGAACTGGAGCTCTGGGATTGGATGAAGCATGAGTTGATCTATTTGAATAGAGATGGTGATTGAAGTTGCCAGAATTTTGTCAGGCAAAAAAACGTGTACTGAGTGAAAGGAAACTGCCACAGGTAGAATTTTTAGAATCATCAGTGTTCAGTCATCAAAATTCTGTTTGAAGAAAGAGAAATTAGCCACTATCAGAAACCGATAGTTAGAGGAAAACTGACTTCCAGTGTCCTTGTTTTGTTTTTTAAAGAAACCAAAGAGGCAGAGAGATTCAAAGAGGTCAACAGTGTTAAATGCGCCTGAAAATTCTAGGAGGAGAATGATTGAGGTAGAAAAACCTTTTGGATATTACATTTACTCAGTGTTCAGGAACCCCAATAGAGCTAATCCAACTTTGGATGCCAAATGGTTTTTTGAATCCTCTTCAACATCTTTATTCTTTATCTCCTTCCTATATCAATCCCAAAGATTCATTTATGTTTTTCAGATTTATCTATGGGTGGTTTTATTTTTGTGAATCACATTTACTTATTCTCAGAATATCATTGTTATAAACACCTTAACTCTCCCCATAATTTGAATAGCAAATTCAATTTAATGTATATTAAAGAAGTGTTAGTATTGAGTAATCCCATCAAATATGTATGACTTATCATTATTCCACCTAATAATCTCAAAAGTAAGTTCCCACATTAGATTGACAAATATATTTGCTTCATAAATAATTTCAGTCAGTATTTGGCACAAAGTAGGTACTCATAAGTAATGAATGAATGAATGAATCAGTGCTTGCTCTCTTTAGATCATTTTGACATTCTTTTTGTTTTTAAGTACTCCTATATCATCTACTTGCAGAAAATACACTCTGAATTATCTATCTTGTAATCCTTAAACAAATAAGACTAAGAAGAAAATGAGATTATATAACACTTTCATGTGTGATTTTCCACCTGATTCTCATTAGTGCTATTTTTATTTTTCTTGACCTGGCATGGTAGACTTAATTTTTATAATTGTAATTAGAGCATAATAACCACTAAATCTTTTTAAACTTTTTTTGTTTAGAAAGAGATTACACCTAAATCTTTGTATTGCATTATTTCTTTTTCTGTCTACAGTAAAATATGACTTTATTGTTTTAGTTCAGGTTATATAAATAATTCATGCTTATTGTAAAAATTTCAAACAATATAGAGAAGTATAATGAAGAATGTAAAAATCACTTTAAAAACCACTCAAAGGATAACTACAATTAACGTTTACATACTTTATGGGTTAATTATTTTATCATTATAAAATGTTGCTTTTTATCTCTAATAATGCATTTTGCTTTAAAAATCCACTCTTTCTGTTTTTAGCACAAACACTGCCAACTCACATTCGGTTAATATTTGCATGTTTTTTCTTTTTGTAGCCTTCTGTCAACCTTCTGGTTCTTACATTTATGACCTCTTGTAAGCATCTTATAGTAGCCTTTATTTTAAAAATCTAATCTGATAGCGTTGATATTTACTTGAATTATATAGTCTATTTACATTTATATTTATTAAAGTAAACTTGAGTTTGTATCTGTCATGTTACTATTTACTTTTTCTTTTAACTCACCCACTTATATTTTTTCTCTCCTTTATTGATTTCTTTTGGATTTTAAAATTAAAGAGATACTTCTTGTTATTCCATTTTTAATTTATTAATTTTCATTAAATATACATTCTTATAATGTTTTTATAGCGGTTGCTCTAGGGATTTCACATTCAGCCTCAACTTTTTACAGTCTAACATAAATAGTTACTACTAATAATTCCCTGATATTGCTAGAATCTTAGAAAATTTTAACTCCATCCTGTGCCATTAACAAGACATTTTTCACAGTTTTTAAAGCATACTTAGAACATTTCTATTACTGTTTATATAGTCAATATCCACTTATGTTTACCTGCACATTTACTTTTCCATTGTCATTCATTTCTTCTGCACAGCTGTGTTTCCATCTGAAAATATTCTGCTTATGTCTGAAGGAGTCATTTCAGGATTTCTTTTAGTGCTGGTGTGCTGGAAATAAATTTTCTGTTTTTATTTCTCTGAAAATTCTTGTATCTATGTTTCTAAACTTTAGCTGGTTATAGAATTTCTTTCAGCACCAAAAATTTCATTCCATTGTCTTCTAGCTTTCATCCTTTCTGTTAGGAA